AACATGCACCCACAGACACACACATACACACACAGGCACACACATACACACACACACACATACAAACATACTCACACACACACACACAAACAACATGCACCTTTGTTTAGTATAGGGTTTTACGGCGCTCGCAACTGCATAAGGTCATATGAGCGCGCGGGACACACCTAATATTTTTCGATGGTAGGAAATTTTGAATTTTGCCCGGGTGGCGGCCGAAGCCTACTCTTATCGATTTTAGACCACCAAGGGATCTTTAACGTGCGCAACTTGCACACGGGCCCTCCGAGATTTTTCGCCCTTGTCCGAGAAGGCTAGGTGTAGATCTTTCCCACCAGAAGATCAGGGGTGTGGCAGAAAGACAGCAGTTAGGAGGAGCCAAGGAGTAGCAGTAGAAAGGCTGCAGAAAGAGTCAGGAGCCCAGAGGAGGGGGCAGAGGAGGTGAGGGGGTGGGGGCAGAAAGTGGAAATGAAAGCAGACAACAGAACATTGTTAGAGATCAGGAAAGGATGTGAAAGGAGACAATTTTAGAGAAGAAAATATTTTGGTCGCTACCCGGAATCGAACCCGGGACCTTTGAATGAGAGGCCAACACCTTAACCTCTAGGCCACGAGAGCCCCCAACATGCACCCATGTATATATAGTCTATAATATAGCTTCACACACAAACACATATTATATTGCCTCACACATACCTCCTCACACACACACACACACGCACACAGCCTCACTTACAGACAAACACATATTATATTGCCTCACACATACCCCCTCACACACACACACGCACACAGCCTCACTTACACACAAACACATTATATTGCCTCACAAATACCCACTCACAAATACCCCCTCACACACATACACACACACACACACGCACACAGCCTCACTTACACACAAACACATATTATATTGCCTCACAAATACCCACTCACACATACCCCCTCACACACACACACACACACACACACACAGCCTCACTTACACACAAACACACATAGACTCACACAGATACAAACTCACGAACACACTCACCGCCTCACACACAAACACACACATATCTTCACACACTAACACTCCCATTTCCCCCACTTGCAATAACACCTCCCACGCTCTCACACACTCACTCTCACTCACATGATCACATTCCACTAAAACTAAAGCAGACTAAAACAAATTCACCTAATGTCTAAATAGCTGAGCTTGCAGTCTGCTTTTGAAATATTATGAGATAAAGATACAGTGGAATCCTGTTATAACGAGAGGGGGGGGAGTGGTAGGAAGTGTCCGTTATAGCAGGATTCTCGTTGTAAGGGATCCAGTAATAAATTCAATGGAAATAATAAAGTAGGCCTAATCTATGAGTTTGTTGTTCAGTTTATTATTTTTCCGTTATCGTCCCTAATGATAATTTTGCCCAACATGACCTCTTGGTCTTATTTGATAAAAAACCGAATCATGTTTCTTCCTCTGGCTTTGGCGATCAAATGGAAAATTCTCTTCTAGGCTAACTCGCCCGCTGTGTTGTCCCCCACCCCACCACACCCTGTGGTGCATTCCGTTCGCTTGTGCACGTCTCACATTCGCTCCATCCATCACATTGCTGTGACCTCTCCATCCCGGCATCGGAGAAGTGAGAGGCACGGTAGGCCAAGATAATCTAGACTACTAGGCTGTCTGCACATACCACATCCTCCCCACTCATTCGCTCCGGCCTTCATTGTTGGCACACGCGGGCTCTCCTATTCCTTGTGTCGCTAGATCACCAACAAGTTTCTCAACTGGCCAGGTTTTACATCATGCATAAACGGCCTATGCACTGTGCACAGCAGCCGCTATATTCCTCTATAACCGACTCGCGCGTTAGTCTTTTTCGTTTTCGTAAAGGTTTTACGGCGCTTGCAACTGCATAAGGTCATATGAGCGCCAGAAGATTAGAGGTGTTACAAGAGAGTAACAAACATAAAAAAGAAGGAGGGGAGATAAGGACGATAGATGTTTGATAGGAAAGAAGAAGCAAACCACACCAGAGCACCCGCCAACCACCCACTCTCGCGCGTTAGTCAGATTGCGCTATAGCAGTATTTCATTTACAAAGATAAAGAAGGGGAAAAAACAGGGTTTTAGAACAGCGTCTTTATAACAGACTTCTCGTTATTTCAGGACTCGTTATAAATGGACTTCACCGTATATTTCTTGAGCACATATTACATTGTCAGCGCAACAAGCTCCATCAGCTGCCGAAATAGCTGAGATTGCAGCCTGCCTATGAAGTGTGAAATAAATCTATTTTAAAATGTGAAATAAATCTATTTTAAAATATGAAATGAATTCATAAATATTCCTCATACATAATATGTGATTGAACATCGGTTGGAATGAAACGGACGAGCAGGTACAAAATAGGAGACGAATACATAAAAATTTATTTTGTAAGACATAATTGTGAGTATAACCATTTGTTGGAATGAAACTGGTCCCACAGGCATGAAATATGGGATGAATTCATGAATATTCATCATGCATGGTACACGATCAAACATTTGTTGGAATGAAACGGACGGAGAGGTACAAAATATCAGATGATTACACTGGAATTTGTTGATGGATAAACACAACGACTAACAATTTGTTGGAATTTGTTTTAGTAAGAGTTTTTCAGGATATAGAAGTAGAAATAGGACTAAGAAAGTGGCGATGGATGGGACACACCTTCAGAAAGCCCAGCGGAAACATCACAAGACAGTCACTGCAGTGGAACCCACAAGGAGCACGAGGCAGGGGTAGGCCACGGGAAACATGGAGGAGATGTGTGGAAAGGGACATGAGAGAAATGAAGCTCACTTGGAACAAGCTTGGAAGGATGGCCCAGGACAGAGATAAATGGAAGGAGCTTGTTGTATGTGGTTTATACCCTGCCAGGGGTGAAAGGCATTGATGAAGAGTTTTTCGGCACTTGCAACACAATAAGGTCATACAAGTGCCGAAGATTAGAGGTGTTGCAAGAGAGTAACAAACACAAAAAAGAAGGAGGGGAGATAAAGGCAATAAATGTTTGATAGGAAAGAAGAAGCAAACCACACCAGAGCACCCGCCAACCATCCAACAATTTGTTGGAATGACACTGGTCCCATAAGCATGAGATGCCACATGAATTCATAGACATTTTCCATACATCTTCAGGGTGTTTTGCTGTTTTAAGTTTTCTCACATCAACAACAACAACTTCAAGAACAACCCAAATATTAAAAAACGTAATACTAAAACAACTCTGTTGTGACAGTAACGATATGTCCATGAACATTTCTGGTAATGAAACGGACAGACACTAGACAGGCAGGGAATGTGAAAAAAACATGTACGGTATATATATATTTATATATAGAATTACAGAGCCTACCCCCCCCCCCCCCCCCAACTCCCAAATGAATAACGAAAAAAATGTCCACACACACACACACACACACACGCACACACACACACACCTCTGAACATTCGTTGGAACGAAACAGATGGACAGACATGAAATGAAAGATGAATATTACGTGTACGTTTATCATACATATTATCAATATATACCATTATGGGGTAAGTTATGTTTCAATATGGGCCAACTCTGAAAGTTTCTTAACACTTTTCCGCCTCATTAGGCCGATTGGCCATGTTTACCACACAGTTTCTTTGGATGTTCCCCAAAATATGATGGCAAAGTGTTAAACCCAATTTTTTGCACAATCAAAAATCCAGGGTTAAAACACAGCATCTGCATAACGTTGCAAATCACCTTTTCTTCAGCTCCTATTCACTTACTCTGAGGTCAAATCCAAGACAAAGCAGCCGCTGATTATTTAGCCCTTCATCTCGGAGAGGGATAAACCCACTATGCCGGGGCCCTCTTTTGGTCAAAAAATCTAAAAGTGAGACATATATACATCACTAAATTAGTCATTGAACCAAACACAAGTGAACCGATTTTGATAGTTCTTTGTCTAACGAAAGAACTCCCGGCAAAAGAGACCTGTTTTCCTCAATTGCCGAAAACTAATTCGACGCAGAAGTTGTCGTAAGGGAATGTGCCCGAGCCGCTATTGGACAGCGGGTTCTGACCACGAGCCGCTGCCAGTGGCTCACTATCACAGCGGGATCCGACCGCGAGCCGCTGCCAGTGGCTTTC